GCACACACTTGTACTACACACCTGCACACACTTGTACTACACACCTGTACACACCTGTACTACACACCTGTACACACTTGTACACACTTGTACTACACACCTGTACACACTTGTACTACACACCTGCACACACCTGTGTAGGTGCAGGTTTGCACTGTTTATGGATCATAATGCAACAAGTGGAGGTCTTCAGATGATCTTAAAAATAAATGTACAAGTTTAAATGATTGCAGATCGTTTTTATTACACATTATGCAGCAAAACAAACAGAACAGAGGTAAAGATGTTATCTTAGAAGAGAAACTGAGCTTGTTGCTGTTTGTAACATTATAACCTTATTTTTTGACTTATCAGGGATATTTTCATAGTTCAGCAGGAGTTGTGGTCTCAGGTGTCTGAAACTCATTATTGGGGGTCAGGAGATGGAAACTTTGGGGAACACGGCTCTGGGCCAGCAATGGTTCACCTTTTGGTCGTGAAGTATTAAATCAGAAAGCGAACCCATGCTCGTTCAAACTGAAGGCAGGTGCCCTGCCACGATGCAAGGAACCAGAAGTCAGGTTTTCCCAGGCCGCCACCATTAGGACCTGCTGAAGTCCTGCGGTGTTGACTGGTCCACCTTTAGCCACGTTTTCAGGTTTTAGCTGTGATGACTAAATCATCCAGAAGAGTTCCTCATGATGCTGTTGAGCTGAGAGATGACCCTCCAACAGTCTGGGTCCACCATCTCAAGACACATCTGTGCATGTACCTTGTGTCCAACAGAACCTTTTCCCTTCACAGAGTTTCTGCTTCGGACTCGTTTTCTTTCAAGACTTTCTAAACAAACTTTACCCTGAAACAAGAGCTTCCATCATCAGAGACGTGAAACTCATAAAAACGCGAGCCCTCCCACCAGTCTTAGGCAGCGCAGCAATTCTATGTGAAGAGGACGTGTCCCCCCTGCCCCCACATTTTAAAAGTATTTGTTTGGATCCTCCACATTTACCATAAAATAGTTCACCCAGCTCTCGTTCTATTTGTTCGTGATTGAATCCATTCCACTTGATTAATAAGAGAATACTCAAACCATTAAAGTCCACTCCAGGTTTTCCTGGTTACTTACAACTTTTATTTATTTATTTATTTTATTTAACCAGAAAAATCCCACTGAGATCACAGATCTCTTTTGCAAGGGAGGCCTGGGCCTGGAGGCAGCCTAACATTCTGTGGGAGGAAACCAGAGTACCCGGAGAAAGCCCATTTATGAACAAGAAGAACATGCAAACTCCACACAGAAAGACCCAAGGTCCAACCGGGGATTGAACCCAGGACCTTCTTGATGTGAGGCAACAGTGCTAACCACTGAGCCGTCATGCTGCCAACAACTCTCCACTCCTCATGCAGTGTTTGCCTGAGGTCACTTGGCTTGGCGCTCATCTATTATTATTTTTTATTATTATCATCCATATTATTTTACATTATTATTGTTTAGTGTATATCTTAGATCCTTATACACTGTTTCGTTTTATACTTTATATTTTTGCTATTTTTGGGAGTAGCTGGGACCCTGAGTACATAATTTAATTCCACCTCATGTACCACATGTGATGTGCATGACAATGAAGAACGTTGATCTCTGAGGGTTGTTTTTTTTTTTGTGGATGGGGTGAGGGAAGCAGTGGGAAACACATCGGTGTTGCACGCTAGCTTAGTGCCACGTTAGTGCCAGCAGTTGTTGACCGGGGGGGGGGGGGGGGGGGGGGCGTGAGAGAGGGGGAGAGTGCTCTGTTCACATAAGGGGAGCTGTTGGTCAGGCTACTTCTTGTTGCTCCCTAAAAAAGTTATTGAATCAAGTGTTTACTTATGTAGGTAAACATAGATGTTTAACAGCCTGTTAAAATACACCAGAATGCAAGAAATGGCATCCACTTTATTTAAAACTTTATGGGGGAGGACCCCCAGAAGCCCACACCAGTGTGTCCCCCCCCACATTACAAATGTTTCGGACGCCAGTGCGTCCTGTAATGCACAAAGTAGCAGTTTCATCTATTTATTCATGTTAAAAGTTTGGAAGTTCAGCTGAAGCTCAGCTTTAAAAGCTAAAGCTGTAAAAGGAAAAGAACGTAGAAAACAAATCTTAAAAGGTTTATGAACAAAAATACACAAAAATGAAAGCACTGTCATTTATTATTATCATCCTTAATTATATTAGAGTGGTAGAAATTATAAAACACAAAGTAATTATTATTATAAACAATGCATTTATTTATTGTCCCTGTAGAAGCAAAAACTGATTTTTAAATGATTTGTATTTACTAAAATCCTCTGAAAGGCCAGTTTACACCGAGTTTTATCAGCGTTCTGTAAATGGTAA